TGTATTTTTTTTTATTGATTGAATTCGTCAAAGTACGGGTGGACCCTCGGTGATCGTTCACGTAACCTTGCGCGATACGCTCGAGACCGGTCTTTCGGATTAGGGTCCGAGAGTTTCAAGAGTTCAATGACCTTCCTTCTCGTGTCGCGATGTGTCCCATCGACTAATCTCGCGATAATTCGAAAAGGCTCGAGTCGCGTACGCTCTCTCGCATAGTCGAAGTGAACGGGGTTACCGATCTCGAATGGCCGTGACTCTGGGCCAGGGTCTGGGCCAGTCGGATTCCACGTACCTGGTGATCGCGAAGTCAACGCGCAAAAAACGGACCGAGGATTTGTATGCCGGTGGCGCGCGGACATTATATGTACCGTTGCTGTGTTCGCATAATTCGATAATAAATCGCGACGCTTTGTACGCGAAACACCTGACCGATCTTGTACAATCAAAAATTGCGATCGATCTATCGAGTATTACATCCCTATCAATTGAATGAGTTGTGCGTTTAGTTCGCAAAATATTTTATCGTGTCGTAATTCAAGGATCAATGATATTTTCACTATCATTAGATCTATTAAACCATTTTGAAGATAATAATAGATTGTCTACTGATTTGTATTCGTACGCATTGTACGTAGTCGCTTCATGCACCAAGTCGTGAATGAGAATAGATGGTTGGAGGGGTGGTCTGAAGTGGTCGGAGGGGTTAAACGTACGTTCCCGTAAAGGGGTTACGAGAGGACGGTAGACAAGGAGAAATGGCGAGAGGGATGCACCGAAGAAAAACATGAAAATGGCAAGATGGAAATAGGTTAAATAAAAGTGACAATGGTGCGACGAGAAAGATCTTTTTAAGAAGCGATCACATTCTTGAGTTCAGATTATAATATCGTTATTGTTATAAAAATTGAATATTTTTAATAGATAATATTTAATTAATAACTGACAGGAAAGACGCGATGTACAACATTCAGAAACACATCCAATATAATATTTAGATGAATATCAATAAAAATCAATAATACATCGTTCACAAATCCTTTTAACTTTTGAATTTCTCCGGTTTAAAAATGATTAGAATTATTAGCACAATATTTAAGATAATATCGAGCAGATAATATTTTATATTGACGTGTCGATATTTTTGAACGTCGCAAAAATTTCCAAGGACACTTTTCATCCAACTGTTAACCGAGCTCTCGCTCAAAACTTCTTCCTGAATCTTATAATCGGACATGTCTTCTGCTGTCATCAACGACGACGAGGAATGAACAAACAAGCGCCGCGATGACGACGAGAGAAAGGGAGAAAGCGACGCATGGAATAGGGGTAGTGCGCCAAGGGGGTTGGTTGCACGCGCGTCGAAGCGGGCGGTGGGTTGAAAGGGGTAACGGGAGACTAAAGAGAGAGAGACAGGGAAAGAGGAGGGTGCAGCAGATAAATGACGAGACAAGGACGCAAGAGGGAAATGCACGAAAGAAAAAGAGAGGAGGAGGAAGAGGGAGGGAGGGAGGGAGGAGGAGGAGGAGGAGGAGGAGGAGGAGGATGGTGGTAGAGACGAACGAAGAGCAATGAGCGGGGAGTGGATCGGGGTAAGTAGACGGGGTTGGAAAGTGGCGTACGGTGAAGCGAGACGCACAGAGGGAAGAACGGGAGGATTCGGGGTGGCGAGGACCGAGGCAGGGGAGGAGCGGGAGAGAGAAATGGGAAACAGGGAGAAAGAGAGAGAGAGGGAACCTCTGGCAACGGGTCGATCGAAAGCGCAGCGCAGAGAAATGCACCACCTCTGCTCTGGTCTGGCAGCTTTGCGGGCGCACCACCGCGTCCGCGTGCGTCAGAAAGAGAGAAAGAGAACGACGGCGCGGGAGAGGGAGAGATGGAGAAAGAGAGAGAGAGAGAGAGAGAGAGAGCCGGGGCAGCGATCGGCCTTACCGACGTAATTTCTTGCCCTCGTCCTCCGTGCAACCCCTCGGGCGCGATCAGATCGGGCTAGATAAATGTTGAGGGTAAACGGCGCCCTGCGTCGCCCGCTAGCGCGAGGCCAGGAGGATCGGGCCCTAAGTGCAACCGGGGCCGGCGCGATGCCGGTCTCCCTGAGGAACCACAGGATCACATAAAGGGCGGCCGCCGGCCCGCGACGATTTAGAGCCCTTCGTACCGCGCACGCACGGTCGCGCAACAACGAAAGGGATCGTGCGACAGAAGAGGGTGTTCTCCGAGTGATTCAGGGTGGTGAACCTATCTACGCCTTCACCTCGAACAACAACACACTGTCGTCGTGTTTGTCTGGCGGCATCCGATGCACCAAAAGCCGTGAGTACCATAAACCCGGCTCGCGACTGTATGACATCGCGCGGTTAACATGTATCGCAAGGGGTATTACGGTATATAAGGAATTTGTCTTATTAGAATACCACTGTAAAATCCCAAAATAAAAATACGAGAATTTTTTTCGAGTGGTCCTTTGCTATGGAATTTAAAGTGAAAAACATAGGGATGTACACGGCCGACATTGCCATCTCGAAGCTAACGGTGATGAGAAAAATGGAGCTCTGTGTACACCCTTTTGCTATTCCAAACTTGGCAATGGAAAAAATAAATTATCTGATGTATTTCCTTTTTATGTGAATGATTACTTTAACGAATATTTCACGAGAGAGACCAATAGATATCTTAAATTCGAAAGATCCAATGGAGTATTGCGCGAAGAGATAAGATAGAAATTTGAAATAATATATACTATTTTCATTTAAAAAAGACTAACATTTATATATAATATAAAAGAATCGGAAAAATTCGTAACGCAACGCGTAACGCGACCGACCGAAATACCATATATATCCTGCTAGGGATCGATCCTGTCGCGGCTGCAATTTCTGCTATGTTGCGAGTGCAGCGATCTTTTGTGTAAAATGCGATGCATTGCGTGTTATTTGAACAGGTTTTGCAATTTCCAGATTTTCTGTTCGGGAATTTTATTGCAAGGTGGAGGACTAGGGAGAATGAGAGCTTTGTTACAATTCGTGTAAAAATAAAATGCCGATGTATCCAGAAATATTAAATCAAGACAAATAATCTAAGTTGATTAGATCGAGAAACGATCTGTTAATGCTGTGACATAAGAAATTAATTCTTTCGTTTAAAAAAGAATAAAATAGATACGCAAATAATCGAAAGTTGATGAAAAATAAATATCACCCAGAATATGAAGAATAATCGAGAAAAATATTTCTGTGCCAGAGTAGAAAATCGCATTATACAATATTCATGCTCTCAGTATTTTTCGAGACAGGAAAAAATAAAGAAAACTTTAGGACTTTGAATACAAAAATCAATTTTCGAAGCTGTTACACGAAGATGAAAATAACTGATTGTTTATCGTCAAAAAAGAGTAGAAAGCCCAAGCATCTACGAATCTGTGAAAGAGAAACTAGAATATTGATTTAAGAAGAATTGTTAAACGGTGCCTAAAAATCGCGAAGAGCTTCCGGGATGTAAATTTATAACGTTTCAGCGAAAGAACTAATCTCGAAAAATGCGATATCTATTTTATAAGAAATCTATTTCCCCGAGAATTCGGGAACATGATAAAACGCTTTTGGTTGGAAAATCGCGTCGAAAGCATACGCGAGCGAGCGGTTTGCGATACCGGCGGTGAGCGATTTTCATGGAAATCGAAATCCACCGGGTAGCGAAAACCCTCAGCGGGTGGTAGCGGACAGGGAGGACTTCGGAGTTTATGCCCCCGTCCGCCCCACCGACCCCCCGCTTCTCCTTCCTTCCTTTCTCCCTCTCTCCCACCCCTGCAGTCGATCAATGCGTGGACGGGTTTCACTTTCGCGGTGTTAAAGTGTTGCACCACCGCAAATTGAAGAGTCTGCACTGTCGTGAAAACTGGATCGCGATTCGTTAAATGACATTTTCCATGCCCGCAATTATTTGATATTCTTGGAAAATTCTTCTTGTCAATTTGATATTTTAACAATCTCTCTCTGGTTGCACGTGAAAGGATGGTATTATTTCGAATTTATACAATTATTAATTATGCGTTATTTTGAGCATTGTCTGGAACAAAGTATCTCAACCAGAAGCACTAAAAAACAGCCGTACGATCGAGAAATTATTTAATTCGTTAACCATCTTTATTTCGTTTGTTACTTATTTCTGCATCGATTTGGTTGGTCCCAAATAGTTCGTGTTTCGCGAGTTTATTGCAAATTTATCATTTCCCGGAGTTGCGCGAATACATAAGGCAAGGAATAGAACTGCGCACCACCAGGACTTTTAATTATTCCTTCGATAACGATCGCGCCGCTTAACTTTTGCGAGACTTAATGATGACGCTTGAGCTTAATCAAGTGTTTGCTCGGCGATAAAAATAAAAAAACGTAAACCTATAAAAAAAACAACAGGAGTAAAAAATAGTGGGCATCAATGGCGAAGATTCGATTATTCATCCGTGTTATTGAACGGACGAGAGTGGAACATACGAGCTCGTTTCCTAGAGATCGTTAGTAAGTAGAATCGTATAACGGAAGGGAAGGTAACACATATGTGACAGTGATATATACGATAAAATTAATAATTTCAAAACATATTGTAAAAATTTGAATCCTTCCTAATGTATAATCCGCTTAAAGGGACATCTAATCCGTCATTCGATTGTATGCAGCTTTTCGTGGCTGCCACGGGAATGGATTAGCTTCTACATATTATCTAAGATTATGGATGAGTCCCTAAGCTGAAACGTCTGCTATAATTCATAACGATGAAATTTCAGGATCATTTTGTGATAAAGATGATAAAGATGTGTAGCGCGAAAAATTTCGTGGAATAATTTTGTTAATCTATGCTCTTGTGCATTGTAAATATAGATATGTTCCAAATGTAAGAAATATATTAACATTTAAAATTATTAAAATTGAAAAAAAATGGGAAACAATTTTGCGAAATCTTGCCGACATCGAATAAAATTAACAAGAGTTTTCTGGTTCTATTTGCAGCGAAGGATGGAGGCCAGCGAGTGGGATCACGCGACCTTGAGGGAGGAAGAATTCGAGCAGCATGCCGTATATTTGGTACCGGATGTGTCGGCATCGCCGGGCGATACCAATCGTGCGGAGGCGTCCTTGCCACGGAACCTGGTCCTCAAACCCTCTCAGGCCCTCAACGATGTACGTTCTTTCGCAGAAGAAACTTACCCCGAAACCTCCTCGGTAGGGGTCGCGCGTTTAGTCACATCGGGTTATTAATTTCTTCGATGCCAGCTGAGCTCACGCAAAAGTCACGCGAGAAAATTGATAATTTCCGGAAAAAAAAATCACAATCCCGAAAGCGAAACATTGAGCGCTCCATCAAATTGCAGAAACTTTAGGATTGAAATAGATATTAGTGCACGCGAGTAACATTAATCGTAAACTACGAAAAGTACTGGTAGAAATTTAGTAATAATCTCCAGATGAGAGTTTAGTTGAGGCGCGAGAAGGCGTTGGCCGAACGACGTCATGAAATCAAACTTGACCGACAGACGAGACTAATTAACTTACGAGGCATGACCTAGAGGCGAAGTCGAATCGTTACACTTTCCTCAGCGCGGCAAGAATCGAGACGCGTCGAGCGCAATCGGCGCGAAACTTTTGCACGAAGCTTCTTTCCATGCCGGTTACGAAATTTCGAGTCCGGCGTGGAAGCCGAAATGTTCGCGGATCGTAACGATGTAATATATTGAGAACGAGAAGCGTGCGATGGGCTAATCGACGTCCGTTGGTCGGGCTTCCGTTTGTCAAAAGAGAAACAAAAGCATCGGAAGCGCGCGCTGGACTGAAAGCACCGAAGAGTTAAATTAGTTTTGCCGAATGGACGTTTCTATGCAATAGGGCGGGATTCTATTCTAACGTGAGCCGGAATGAAAATAGGTTCTATCTTCTGCCGCGTATTTTAACACAACGCCGGAATAGATGAGAACGGGTGATGAGAATATCGGAGAAAGCAAACAATGCGCTTTTACCAATCACCAGTCATTTATATATTTTGGTAGGCTCTGCGATTTACCAAACGAAGCTTAAATACTTGCAGAGAAAAATTTGTCGGCAGCGCAATTTCTCAGCCGGATTTCGAACTGCGAATCCATTACAGAATTGCAGAATTGATTTATAAATTTATTTCCGAATTAAAAGCAAATAATTAATTCTTTCTAACTTATTAATTCTTTTTTACTTTATTTACTTTTTGCATATTTGCGATACCTTTTATCAAAAAATAAAAAAATTTATATCAAATTATAAAATATTACGAAATTTATTGGATTTTCTATTGTAAAATTTGATGGATGTATAAATTACGAGATAAAAGAGAGACAGAGAGAGAGAGAGAGAGAGAGAGAGAGAGAATGAGAACTAAGAGACTAAATTGATATTTAAGCTTCAAATATGCATCATTTCTCAACTCCAGTCGACTCGATTAATCGGAAATTACATATGTGGCAGGTGTTGGGTGTGTGGAGCACCAGTTACATCCCCAAAGGGACACGTTTTGGCCCTCTGGTCGGCCAGGTGTATACGAAGGATTCGGTACCGGCAGACGCGAACCGGAAGTACTTCTGGCGGGTAAGGTCAATTTTACATTTCTTATATTCAACCAAGATATTCGGATTACGCGGCAAATAACTCTTTGCCGAGGCAATGGTTAATGCAAATAAATTCGATACAATGCAAACGAAAATTTAAAAAAGAGAAGACGCAGAAAAAAAGGTTAAAGATAGAAGGAGAGAAGCCAGCAAAGACCTGAAACTGGTTTCAACCGATCTAGTGAGCCTTAGAGCGAAACCCGCGAGAAGCCGTTGATGCCTCGTAACTCATCAATTCGTTACGACGATTACTTAGTTCCTTCACGATCTTCTCATGAAACACATGATACATACATCGAGATGAGAGCTAACGAACGCGAACGTTAATTAGTGCCTTTTCAGTAATTTCTTCCAATAATTCAGTGTTTCCTAATTATATAGAAGAAAATTGTTGCGTATTTGTGATTTTAAAAAAATACAGAATGTTTAAAAAATTTGAATTGTAATTTTAATTGGGAAAAATAACTTTAAATACTCTTGATAATCATGATCGTCAAGAAAATACGTTAATAGTTATTGACGACATCTTGCATTATTAACGATGTAACAATAGACGATCGATATTTACAGCGTCAGCTAAAAATGCTACCAGCATGAAACTTTAAGAACATATAAGAAATTTAAAGGATTTTTAGAATTTTACATTATTTCTTTGACATTTTTATTTTTTGGGATAAATTGGGACATATCTATAAACAACGATATATTTCCATAATGATTAAAAATCCGTTAGTCATGGTATTCTCATAAAACTGATTCAATCGTCACGAATATAAAGATTGATTTTCGCATTGCCCAGGTATATAAGAACAACGAGCTGTTCTATTACATCGACGGTTATGACGTCCAGAAATCGAATTGGATGCGTTACGTGAATCCCGCCTACTCGTCCGAATCGCAAAACCTAATAGCATGCCAGTATAAGGTAAAGCAATTTTGCGGATCGCATACCGCGAAGCAGCATATATTTTAAATCGCGTCTGGATTATGCGCAAGGGAAAAAAAACTCACAATTGTTGCCGCGCCCGTGTTTCAGATGAACATTTATTTTTACACGATCAAGCCGATATTACCGCATCAAGAGTTGCTGGTTTGGTACTGCAGGGAATTCGCGGAAAGGCTCAATTATCCGCTCACCGGTGAGCTGATGCTTCAGAGAATACGTAAGTAGATATATATTCCCTTTAAGCTAATATAACGTGGAAATGAAATCATAACATGAAAATTTAATGCGCAAATCGAAATCTCAATATACCGCTAACATTTGTAATAAATTAAAACGATTAGTGTTATGAGGAGAGCTCTCATTTATAGCTTGTATTAAATTTCACTTGATTATTCATGTATTTCTATCAGTGTATTTCATGACATTTTTTTGTCTGTGTATAAGTAATGTTTTCTATAAAATAGCATTATGATTACTTAAACGAGTTAAACTGGTGTCGCGTGATACGGTTTAATTCGAGTTAAGAGAAGCTACTAAATGATGTGCCATCATCTGCATACAGTAGAGAATCTTTCAACTATGAAGCGATTTTTCAAGTTACAGTGCGGTATTACAGAAAAGTTACAGCAAAATTACGATAAATTAAAAAACTATATGCATTTCACTATGTATTTCCAATAGATCGTATACATAAGATCCTACGTGTATATAATAATTCGTATAAACAGTAGCATGGTACAAGCAGGTAAGTAAAAGATACGAGAACTGTTCCAAAATCCATATAGTGCAATCGAATGTCCGTATAATGAAATCCCGTTTTATGAACTTGTTTGTATTGTGAACTGCTCGGATAAAGTGAAGAATTTCTTCGCTGCTCTTTCACTCATTATTTTGTTACTAGTCATATTCAAATTTATTTTGCGCATATGCCATCAGAATAAGAATTGAGGGGAAAATTCATAATAAAGATATTGTTTGGTTTTACAATACGAGTGTGCGACCATAGAATATAATAAAATTTATTTAAATAAGAATATATAGATGTGTCGCCAACAGAGGCGATATTTTTTTCGTTTATACACCTGAGTTGTAATTTCTTTATGCTATATGGATTAAATTTATTTCAATATATATTTATAACGGCATTTTTATTATTAAAAAGATATTTTTTATCAATTATTTTCAGGACAACAAGTACAACAATCGACACTACCAACGGAAATTTCGCCCCCCGTCGACGTGATAACGCCTCTGAAAGATTCGTCGATCTACGAGAGGCGTCAGATGACGCCGACGGATGGTTCTGTGAGGTCAGACGAGGGTTATCATTCAAACGGCTATCACGACGAGATCCTAACACCACCTGAGGAAAGCAGTGAATCCGATAGTGAGAACAACTACGTGTTGGATTTCAGTAAGAACGCCAAATCGTCAGTGTGCAACAACGAGATTCTGAAGCAGGACAATACCGCAGCTAAGAATGAATACAGGAAAGTTAAGATAAAGATTTCCAAGACCTACGGTAACTTCCAGGCGACAAAGGTCATAGCTGACGGCTCGACGAAGGATAAGGACCAGGAGTTGTCCAGCCGAGCGGTCACCCCGGAACTCCAGAAGCCGGTATCACCTATCATCCTACAGAAGAGCACAGTGTTGTCGACCGTGAACGAGGATGAGGTGTCCGAGAACATAAAACCCTTCTACGAGCCGGAAGTCAAGAGTGGTAATCTGCCGATGTCCGGCAGACCCGCCTATCTAGCTAACCCCAGCAGTTCCATCCTGGAGAACATTCTGCTGCGTAACAGCACCGATAACAACAACAATAGCCACCATCATCACAATGGCGGCTCGCAGCAACACCATCAGCACCATCAACTGCACCATCAGACTCATGTAGACTCGGTGACGCCACCGCCCTCCAGTCCCACCGAGATGGCATATTCTTATAAGAAGTCCCATCGTTACGGAAACATTCTGCCCTGCAGCCCGGACTCTAGTTCGAATCTGCCCCTACAAACGGACTCGTGCGTAAACTCGACCAGCGGCAACGGTAGTGCGCTACCCAGCATGCAGAGCCCCAACGGCAATCTGCACTCCAGCACGGGAGGAGGATTGCATTCGAGCACAGGTGGAAGCAACGGCAGTCTGCCACCGCACCCCGGAAGTTTGCACTCGTCTAGCAACGCCGGCGGCGGCATACATTCCAGCACGAGCGTGCTCTCGTCCAGCGCGATGCTAACGTCCACCAGCAGTCCGCATTCAGCGTCCACGACGACGAACGGTTGCCCGCCTAAGCGGAAGACCAAATCGCCGTCGCCGTCGTCGAGTCAGAACGGCGTACCCACCCCGACGACGATCCTTTACTCCGGCAGCTCAGGAGCCGCCGGATGTCAGATCGAGTCCGCCAGTCCGGTTTACCCGAACTCCGCCGGTAGTAGCAGTAGCGGCAGCAGCAATCAGAGCGTCTCGCCGATTTCGCCGATTCAATCGCCCTCGTCCTACAGTCCGTACGGTAGTCTGTACGGTCACCAGAATGGCTCGCTACATCACAACATGGGCGCGTCATTGTCTATCAACTGCACCGCCTATTCGCCCACGCCTAGCGGCAACGTCGTCTACGAGAGAACCACGGACGGCAGACGACTGGAGGCTACCAGCAGTGGCGGTCATCAGTTACCCACCTCGTCGACGATGCAGATCGACGGTAACCAAGCGTTGATCACCGGCACGCACAATCTCCACCTCGGCCACCACCCGGGTCTCACCATCCATCCAAACTCCTCGTCGTCCCTCAACAGATACTCACCGAGCTCCTTGTCGCCAGACGATCACGGTTGTTCCCAGAGCGGCTCCCTCAGCCCCAACTCCCAGGGCTCAAGGGGCTACAGGTCGCTGCCTTATCCGCTCAAAAAGAAGGATGGCAAGATGCACTACGAGTGCAACGTCTGTTGTAAAACCTTCGGTCAGCTATCGAATCTCAAGGTACACCTGAGGACGCATTCCGGCGAGAGGCCCTTCAAGTGCAACGTTTGCACCAAAAGCTTTACACAACTCGCGCATCTTCAAAAGCATCATCTCGTGCATACTGGTAAGCTTACTAATGCGAATATTAATTTTGACACAATTGTCAGAATAACAATCATAGTACCTCCATCTGTTCAATACATTATTATATATTTTATAAGATTTTCGCTTTTTTAATTTATTTAAGATTTATTTTTAAAATTTATACTGCTCTTAAAAATTTTTTGTTATCTGACAAGTATTTTTCATTGTTTACAGTATATCTCGAATATACAAAAATCTAATGAAGACATATTATAAATCATAATATTAGATATATAATACCATTATTAGGTCCTAATTTTTATATATATATATATATATATATATATATATATAATAAAGATTTTCTATTTTTGTTTTTACATTTTTCTAAACACACAAGATAAAGAAGATAACAGTCAATTATCGCGACAAATAAACTTGCTTATCAAGAATTCGATCAAGATACAAAACATTATTGTTCGATCTATAATCAAATATTTCAAATAATAACACATTTTTCTATACGACTGTCCTCAGGTGAAAAGCCACACCAATGCGAGATATGTAAAAAAAGATTCAGTTCGACTTCGAATCTGAAGACTCATCTTAGACTGCACTCCGGCCAAAAGCCGTACGCCTGCGACCTTTGTCCCGCCAAGTTCACCCAATTCGTTCATTTGAAACTGCACAAGAGGTTGCACACAAACGAACGACCCTACACCTGCCAGGGTTGTGACAAGAAGTACATTAGCGCGAGCGGCCTCAGGACTCACTGGAAGACAACGAGCTGCAGACCAAACAACATCGAGGACGAGCTCGCACTCGCCGCGGCCGTGGGTTCGCCGACGTATTACGAGTACGGTCCTGATATGAATGTTGGTGAGTATAAACTCTTGATAGGTCTACGATCAAGATAAAATGAAGAAATATCTTGTCTTTCGTTGTTGTCGCTAATAATCACAAGATAATCACAAGAAAAATTTATCAATTAAAATGTTAATCGGCAAGTTTTTCGACACGTTTAGAATTTCGGGAAAAATTACTTAAAAGCGGAATAAATACACTAGACATTATAAGGGGATGAGAATAACGCTGGACGGGCACATTATTCTTGTAGGAAATATGCCCAAGGAATGCGAGTTAGAGCACATCGATAATTACGACAGGCATGGATCGACGCACGGCCCGCACTCCACGTCCCTCCACAACCTGGAAAATTCCGTGAGCCGGCCGAGCGTCATAGAAACATCCCAGCCACACATTATCGAGTGTACATAAGTACATAATGTTATATAAGCACATTAAAGTCGCATGATGGGGTATGAGCCCCTTTCCGTTCGGGCGCAAAATGCAATCGTGGAAATGTAAGAGAATTGCTCGCGGCTAACCAGAAAAAAGTACGGAGATAAGAGCTTTCCCTCTCTGGAATGGCAGTAAAGAACAAAGCTTTTGCATATAGTGTCGCACGAGAAATTTTCGCAAGCTCTCCTTCCTAATTTCGATGAAATTATGGTAAATATTCAAAACAATAAAAATAATTTTGATTTCTATTAATATTCTAATTTGAGAATTAAAATTTGATTATATATTTTTTATATCCTAAAGATGAAAAATAATTACATAATACTATAGTAAAATAATATAAAAAGCTTTTTATTCGTTTTTCATTATTCTTATTATTTTTAAATTTTATAATTTCATTATTAAAATGCATTAGAATAATTTCGAAAGCTAAACGTTAATGTTATTATAGTTTAAATAACGAAAAGAGATTCCAGACTTTAATTATCTCATGTAATCTATTTTTCTTAGGCTGACCATATTTCATCAAAATTTGAGACGATTTGTGAATAATTTTTCAAAATAGTGAGAAAACACGGGAAAGGATCGCAATAAATCCGTAGTTTCCGTAGAAAGATCGATAATTGATCAGCAACCGCCTAATTTTTTAGCGGACACTTTGAACTTTGTTGTTTTAATACTGAAGGCAATGAAAAAAAGGAAGATGGATTTTTTTCTAGAAAAGCCGACAAAGTTCTGTGTAGAAACGCACGCATAAAGTTCCTTCCTTAAATTATCCTTGTAAATACTCGTTTCTATATTTTTTCTATCGTAGCGTTATCAATGAAAGGGAGAATGGTGTTCGAAATAATTAGGTTTAATCACTTGACAAGATCGCAATGCTGCCATTTCAGGAGACACTGGCTCGCATAAGCAACAGTACTAAAATCACTCGGGTTTCTCAATTACTCTTTCACGATGCATTTTAGAATTGCACGTCGAAGACGCATTATGATGACGCAATGAACGACTTGAATTAATCTATATACAAAATGCCTCCAGTTAAATAATCGTATAAATTAATTTTTTTCATATCAAGAATTTTTACATTTTTACATTACGATTTTATATTTTTGCAAAAAAATATCTGTGTGCGAAAAGACATATTACTGTCTCTTAATTATTCAATGTATTTACATTGCAAAAATTTAATGTTGAGTTATTAAAAAATCAATTTCAATTGTTCAAAAATTTAATAAAAAATTCAAGCTATGAAAAAAATTGATTTTAATTTTATAAGAGTCAAGGATTAATTTCAAAGAATTAGCAAGATTTTGTTATATTTATATATATTATCAGGAAATCGCAACTAATGATTAATATTATTATGATGGTGTTAAGTACATTGCTACAACACTAATTTTAAATGTAATTACAGGCATAATTTTTAAAACGAAATTTCGCGCAGTCTTCGACGTGCTAAGATTTTTAGGTCGGTGTGTAAAATGGCGGATTTTGTCGGCACCCGTCATATAGTGTTCGCGTAACACGTGAACGATCAACAGCAAAAAAAGGCTCGAACAACCAGTGACGACACGACTGCAACTATACGAGACCTGTACCTGTATATATATTAATATTACTATTAATTATTCAATAATTTAAAAAGAAGTAATATAAGGAGCTCTAATTTATGAATACCTTTATACATATATACATATAAATATATATATACCTATATATGTATATATACATTCGTGTGTGTACACATGTATGTGCGTATGTGTACTTGCGTGTATACGCACATACATGCGTGCACACCGTCGTCGTAGGTTGGCGGACGGTAGACTGCGCTTTACGTTAACTTCCGCGAAGTAAATTTTATTAAAGATTTCGTTAATGATATATTAATTTATTGACGCGTGTGTAAAAAGGAAAGACGTTGAAACAGTCGACGTGTGCTTCTATTGTACTCGTGCTTTGAACACGATCGACACATATAACTTTGTTAGCACTTTGAAAGTGCTTTTTTTTAGCATTCCCTAAGCAAGAGATTTTAGATTTACGAGATCGCGTTAATATTTATCAAAATTTTACATCGAGTATCTCGCCGGTATAATGATGCATAGCATTACGATAACGAGATTTTGCTGTTCTCGGGTCTTAATCGCGGAATAAAACGGTAAAAGTAATCGTATGTGATATTGTGCACCGAAATTTTTAATCGCGCTTATTATTTGCGCATTTTTTTCGATCCTCGATAATTACATATAACGTATTTATAATAATTGCTTATTAACTTCCATGCTTGAGCGTGTTTCTATTTATTTCAGCTATGCTGAATTTTTCTTTCATTAACTTAAAGAAGAATGTATTTTATATAAATTAAGTTTTTGCTCGCAAAAATTAATATATCTCCTTACCATCGTACGTTTCGATGAAGATTTGTAGCTTTAAATGATCAAAATTCAAAGGTGGAGAGGACAATCGTCTATAAAATCGGAAATTATGATAGGAAATCTAGTCAAAATGTCCTGAAAAAAAATGTAGTGCAATTACGACGTTTCTTAAGAAAAATATACGTATTTCGAAGTCGAATAAAATCTCCGCGGAAATGACTTATCAAATATCGCGTACGCGAATCGATTCCTCGTTCACGTCGTGCTTCCTGTACATAGCACAGAAAGTAAAAGCTAGTAGTAAAAGCAATTAACGAATCGTCGAAAATGCTGTCTTTCTTTCCCGTAGCTTCCATTGATTTTATCGCAAATTCGACGAATTCATACTTCCATTAATGCTAAGCTAGATCGAGTTAATTCTGAGCGCAGCTTACCGTACGTGGTGCGAAGCAACTCATTCTTGCTGAGAGACGACTCCGGGGATTTCGCGCCTTCGCGAGGGACGGGAACGAAGAGGATTTTTTAACAAACGATACGAATTTTTAAAACGAACAAGAATTTTTAAACACAAGACCGAGATCCCCGAGTCGTCGTTCCGTAAAGATATTAATCTAAAGGACGTATCGCAGACTGATATACACACGGCTATCGAGTGTTTGTGAGATTTTAAAGAGTAACGTGCATCGCGATACGATTCCGTGCGAAGCGAGAGAGAAAGGGAGAAAGAGAGCGCGAGAGAGTGAGAGAGAGTGCGATTTTCAAGAGTGCAGGAGTGTATTACATTATCGTTCTAAATTTCGGCTTCCTTCGCAAGATTCCTCCAGGAGGCCTTCGGTTTCGCAAAGATCTCCCTTTCGCGTCCGACGTTGCGACGCAACGCGCCGCAAACACAATTCAAATCCAAAGAATCCCTCGGGACGCACACAGCGAGGATACGCGACCACCACTCTCTTCCCTGTGCCGAAACCCGGCGGTGCTCGTGTGCGAGATCTTTACGAAACCGACGAACCTCGTTACCTCCGAATTACCCATTTACCCCCTCGTACTTATTCACCATCTGCCCGCCGGACACCGTCGAACGCACTCGAAGAGTTCCTCCTCGACTGTCCCGGCAATGTTTTACCGTAATAAGTTTAACGAGCGTTCTGGAAACTGGGACTCGCGAACATTCGATGAACGCGGGACTATGTATTCGTAGATTCACAAGGCCTTTACACTGATTTGCTGATATACCCTTTAATAACCAGGCAACGTGGACGACTCGCGGGGGGAATTCTACGGGATACCGAGTGATGAAAAAAGTTTCTGCACAACGTAACGTGCGTTACACTGGCAATAGTACACTAGTGCCGTGGTCACGTCCCAGGAACTCCTCTTAGAATGTTGTATTTAGAGATCTGCGCGCGTGTTCTCAGTGTCATTCTGTACGGCGTTTTACCTTACGGAAGGACACTGTGAAGCACCGTGAGATGCGAGACGAAGCGTAGAAGCGACCTAGGGAAGGATTTTTATTCAAGGCTCGTTACACAATAATATCGCATCACAAGCAATAATGAAATTTCCTTTGGTGAAAGAAACCGGCCGCGGTTCCTGATGACGTTCCTCACGACCGAGTGTCGTGTTCCGTACATTGCCTTCGATTCTCCACCTTGCCTGTATTTTGAGAGCACTATTACGAATAACGAAGTTAAAACGGAGCTAGAGGAGAAACCTAGGCGCTTAGGAACTTTGAAACGCTAATAACGAGACGTTGAGAACGGGAGATGGGAGGCAGCACACACATACACACACGGCGCAGCGCGTAAAGAGGCAAAACGGTGAAGACCATGTAAATATATACGCTGAAAGTAGTGAAATATCGTGAGGAAGCGACAAGCGAGCGCGACTAATCGCCTCGAGAACAAACAAGCAATATTTAGTTCTTATCATCTCGTAATAATTAAACGATAACGATCCAACTGTACCGTGTACGCACACGCGCGCGCACGCGTGCACGCGCTCGTACGTATTTAAACGACTATAAATTAAATGTTAATTATCCTTACACTTCGTATACATATATACATATATATATATACATAGTGAAAATTGTTACGCATTTATTATCATTATAATTATTGAATAGGTAATGCTCAATTAGCATTTGTTTCTTAAAATAAAGAATAAATATATGGCTGTTGGATATTTATATGCACATATCACTACCATACCTACATACCATTTGTACTATTATAATCTGATATTGCTTACAAATGCCTGACACAGAAGTCACGTTCGATAACGATCACGAGGGGAAAAGAATAACGAATGACGTTGGACGTGGACATGAACTGGATATGTGGAACCATGGGACAATAAGTTTTCCAGCTTTTATTGTAAATTGATCTACAAGTCATCATATCCTGATTCATCACTGTTTACATCATCATCATATTATAAATAATTAAAATGCCACAGCTACGCTGCCACTTATTGTTTCCACATACATGTACAATCAATCCGTGTTTTGCCTCGAAGTCTCCACAATGCGATTCTTGCTTCATGGCCAATAACTTCGCGGCAAAAAGCGGAATTTAATTGGCGTTAATTGAATTTCGCTAGTCTTTCGTCATAAAAATTGATACCTTCGGCGAACGAGTCGCACAAAACTGGCAATCGCCGAAAAGTAAAAGGGAAGAAGAAAGCTATTTTCTTAAATTATGTATAAATTCATGCACTTGCTTAATCGACCTCCCCTAAACGGAGCTGCAAGTACGACCTTCCTCCGGTGCGTATTGAGAATAATATATATATTCCTATAGTAATTAGAAAAATAATACAATTTTGCCTTGTTAATGGAAACAATTAACTATATGCATAATATATAATCACATGATTTATATGGGATCATTTGAGTATGTTGTCACAGCTAACCAATTCTCTGGAAACAATACGAAAAATGGGACTTTTCATTTGCAAGAAACATTGTGGGGTGATGCGATTTCATGTCGCGACTTCGTTCAACACATCGTTCCAAGATGCCGAACATCCTGAAGACGATGATGAAAAAGCAGGTATACCTACCTTATCAAGGTACGGGACTGTCCGTTCCACTCCCACTGTTGGTCCCAGCTTCCGTCTTGGTAGCGGCCACCCTATCACCCCGCTTGGACGTTTTCGATAACGACGCTACTTCCTTCAACAAACTAGATATCTTGTGCTGCATGTTGGAGATTTTTGCCTCATACTCTTTCTCCGACGCTTTCATCTTATTGCGAAGTTCCGTCTCGGATGTGAAGTTCTTCGCTTTGAGCTCAGTAATCTGCAATCGTAATGTCGATTATACGTATCGTCCATTTTATCGTTTCCAGAAAACTTCCCGGAAAATCCTCCACTCACTTGTCTATCTTTTGCTAATAATTGGCTCTCTTTTATGCTGATTTGCTTTTGAAGATGCGCTATCTTCTCTTTGAGCTGCGTAACCGCTACCACGTGATCCGAGCTGTTCGGATCGTGAGGATCGTGCACGCCGGCCATCCGCGCCGCTTTCACAGGAATGGGACCATTCGTGTCTCCGCCTTCGGATTGCGGCGGCAGCTTCGTCACATCGACTCGGTGCGGTCTTTTATTGTGGCCCTTCAGTCTGCAACGGAGAGTGTGAGACATATATAACTGAGATTTTTCACTACAGTTTGTGAAAACGCGTGTTTATTGAAATACACATATCTCGCATGGAACACGTTTCGAAAAATTGTGATGTACAATAACCACTAAACACCGAGTTACCTTGTGATATTACGTATTTGGATAATTACTTTTGTTCTCTGTGCTTCGCAGCCCGCTGTTGCGCCAATTTCATATGCGCTCTTCTCTCCGCATTCGATTGCTTTGTCCTCGCCAACGCTCGTTTATACGACAGTGTACACAGCCAACATAATAACTTGCCGTCTACCTAAAAACCAAAACATCACCGTAACCGATTAAGTAACATTGGGATAGAGTAAATTCATTACCATGTACCAACAAGAGAGAGCAAGGTCTTAGCTGTAGAAATTATACTTGATGCTTATTCGCTCTCTAAAAAAAGAAAAGAAGTCGTGACAGGAAGTCAAATACATGGACTCGGAAAATATTGTAGCAAAATAGCATATATAGCTACTCTCTATTCAGAATAGTAAAAATGACTATAAAAGTGTATTTATAATTTTCTAACAAGAAACATGTGTATTTGTGTATAAATCTCACTAAAAATTAATTTATTCTATACATAAATTTTTCATGGAACATATTTATTATCATTTAAGTAATACTTCAAGCATCAAATTTTAAAGAGACGTAATCTCTTTAAAATTTAATATAGAAAATTGTAATCACATAATTCATAGTATGTTAGATTGCGAATTTAGGAAACGTAAGTCAAGTATATTTCATGATTATTTTTCAGAGAAACGAGAGTGAGTTGTGTCAATATACACAAACTAAAAAAAAAAAAACAGGAGAAAAATTAATGGATTTCAATAAAAAATCTGAAATTTACATATATATTGCACAGCTAGAGATCGTCTCCTTCAAAAATTGAGAGTTACAAGCATTCACTGTGTTACCTTCTTATCCTCGTCCTGTCTATCAAAGGCACACTTCTGCTTGCATTGCTCGCATGTGACCGGTGGTCCATAGCGTTTTTCCGAATTTGTACACCGTTGGCATTTGCTACCGATAAACGCAGCAATGGTATTGCAATATTCGCAAGCCGACGGCTTTCCATAGGATTTCACGTTTTGCTCACACTTTTTACATATGGTGCTTGTGTTACCCTTTCTGTGAAAACAATCGAAGCAATACAATTTTATTTCTATTTTATTCACAATTTTTATGTGAACAGAGGTAGTTTGCTTTCTCACTTACATTGTTTGCTGAAATTCCGATCTGCAGTATGTACATTTTACTACGGGAAAGGCTCCTCTGCATTCCTGCATGTGAACAACAAGTTTTCTTAATTTAACTAATTTATTAAATATTTTTACTTCAATTTTCCATATTCTTCTAACCATATACTTTTTTCTAGCTTTTATAATTTGCATTTATTTACAGTATAATAAAATATTATAACAAAATAATATTGATAATTCATAAAAACATACTAAGAATGTATTTTCACGTAATTTCTTCAATTTTTTAATTTAAATAATATTCTCCCGGAAATAATCACACTTTACAGTACAACACAAATAATCAAGATTATCTGAACGAGTAGAATACAGTCTACTGAATCGCACTTGAAATTTTCTCGGTTACGTATGCAACGTATTTACACAAAACTCATGTTTTCCAAACGTGGAAAATTTTATCGAGGAAAAGAATTTGAAGCGCACGACGAATCGTTATACATATACGGCTCTGCAGCGTTTTCGATCGGCATGGGATTCCTTTCGGAATCCCCTCGGAATACCACGGATCCGTCGCGTAAAGTTCGAGAACAAGGAGTCCGCGTGACGCTCGCGACGAGCCGACGAGGCACGCGGTGCGTACCTTGCACAACTGCTGCCCGGGTGAGAGGTCCTCGAAGGGATGCCTGGAGAAGCACCGGGAGCACGCGAAGAGCGCCTGCACGTTGTTCGCGCTCATCGTCGGCGGCCTCCCCCGCGTACGGCGGTCACGACGCGCGGACGATGCGTGGCGTAGCGTAGCCGGACAACAGAACAACGGACGAGAGAGGCGGCAGCCGCGGCGAGTCGAGACGCGATGTGTCGGGGAAAAGCAGGCGGGAGAACGTCACGGCGCCCACGCCACGGAACGAGGAAACGCGAGCAGGTGTAAAAATCGACGATGGCAACGCGATAACGCGATTATCCCGATTGCGATTATACTAACTCCGCCCGGAACCGGTTGTTGACTTTTACGTAGCCATCTGTGACCGCTGCGACGGAGCAACATGGCCGACCGTGGCGGCGGAGGTGGCCGTCCGAGGGCGCCACCGCCGCCCGCGGCCACGTTCAGACTTCAGACCGATTAGACGTGAACGGCGCGGCGTTCGAATAATCTGTATGTTTTTTAACTGCTGCATTTTTAGCTTTTCAGTTTATTTTTCGCTTCATTTTAAATGTAGATAATTCCATGTAATATTAATTCAGCTTTAATAAATAAATATGAAATACTGTGCCTACTGTTTCTGTATTATTGCCTGACTACAATAATATTAAAATAAAACAATTTTCTTGCGTTGGAAAGAACAAAAGAAATATTAAAAGATCGATGGTCTAAAATAAATTCAAGCTTTAAAAAATTTTTAAGCTGCTTCTTTTATCTCTATAAAATGGAAAGGTTAAGTTCTAACCTGCGATTTCTTATTTCTGTTTGTTCGTTTCATTTCATTGATTTTATTTAACAAGAAATATCTCTTTAAGTAAATATATATAGAGGCCTATGTAAATCAACATTTCAAAAAATTTTAAGCTGCTTTTTTATCTCTAAAATGAAAAGGCTCTATAGCCTGATTCTTATATTTCTCTTATCTTCTAGAAATAATAGTATCTTTTTGTTTCATTTCAATGATTCATTTTATTTAACAAGAAATATCTCTTTAAGTAAATATACATATATACATAGAGGCCTATGTAAATCAATATTTCGAAAAATTTTAAGCTGCTTTTTATCTTTAAAATGGAAAGGCTTTATAGCCTGATTCTTATTTCTCTTATCTTCTAGAAATAATAGTATATCTTTTTGTTTCATTTCAATGATTTATTTTATTTAACAAGAAATATCTCTTTAAGTAAATATATAATAGAGGCCTATGTAAATCAACATTTCAAAAAATTTTAAGCTGCTTTTTTATCTCTAAAATGGAAAAGCTCTATAGCCTGATTCTTATTTCTCTTATTTTTTAGAAATAATAGTATCTTTTTGTTTCATTTCAATGATTCATTTTATTTAACAAGAAATATTTCTTTATAAGTAAATATTATAATAGAGGCCTATGTGAAATACCTAACGTATCGAAAACAGCTGTTTATACAAATAAAAGATAACGATGATCGATTGTTCATCGAGGCTAGGCACGGAATAGACGAGATAGACCGCGTACATAAATACAAACTATAGACACGTATATGTATATATACCGTCTTCACGTATATCTCTAATAGTTACTGCGACACGAATCGGCTTATCAATTTATTTTCCTCTGAATTATGACTCACTCTCTGCGGCCGCAGTGATAAGCAGATAATTTTTTCGACCGCAAACAATCGTCCTCTCCGTCCCGGTAAGAATACTAATGGAGAATACGTACTCGAATAAATTATATCGATAGGAGCATCGGTCGGTAATCCCGTGCTTGGCTCTCGAGTTTCCCCCGCTGGATAACGATTTTACCGCGAAGTTTACCTACGGCCACCACGATATGATTCCACGGCGGCCGCGCGACACTGCCACCGGGGCCAATGGGATCTCCGCGGTGCGGAATCCGTTACGTGGTACCGTCGCGGCGCCGCGCTCCTGTCCAGCAGCAGCGTTATCGCGGGGAGACGACACCACCGGGGTGTCGCGGTCGCGCGTGGTCCCCGATCCCTTCGCGAAGACGCTGCCGCCAGCAACGAGGATGACGTCCCGCCACGAGAAGGAGCGTGCCAAGCAGATCCAGGAGAAATGTCAGAATCTGCTGACGCAGATGCTCCGCGACGAGGATAACAAGTACTGCGTCGACTGTGACGCGAAAGGTTCGTGCTTCTCGGCCAGCCCGAGATCCATGGGATGCGCCCCACATCCGCTTCCCCTTCGGGAGAGCCGTCTCCTCGGTCGGCGAATCTCTCCGTGCGGCGGGCCCTCCTCGGGCTTTGTGCGATGCGCGCTCGTCGACCTCGAGGGGGAGGTCGACTCGTCGATATCGATCACGGAACGACCCGTGCGGACGCGCTGATATGCTCTATATGACGCGCCGAGACGGATTTTATAGATTTTTAATTTCCGCGTGACATACCTGTCAGCGCGAGCTGTCACTCGATAACGTGTCGTCAAGGTCCTCCCGAATTTCATGCTCCGGATATCACGCTCGAAAAATCGGAGCACGGACTCCTTTGTCTCTCTTTCTCTCTCTCTCTCTCTCTCTCTCTTTCCTTTCCTCTTTCCGAGGATTGGTGGAGAAAAAAACGCGTTCGCTCTTGCGTGACTTGTCCCATGTTGAAAACTTATAATTAATAGTCGTGAACATTAGATAACTCGATTCGTCGGCGTGGCGCTTTTATTGATAGTTGTTTATCGTTGCATCGAGTCTCCAAGCGGAATTCGTGGGCGAGAGATAACGGAATTATTTATGATGCCTTCGATGAACTTTGCATGTCGCAGGACCAAGATGGGCCAGCTGGAATTTGGGAATTTTCTTGTGCATTCGATGCGCTGGCATTCACAGAAATCTTGGGGTACACATAAGCAAAGTCAAGTCTGTTAATTTAGACACATGGACACCAGAACAAGTAGTGGTATGTAGTGGACATAGTTTTACGTTCATAGTTTTTCAACAGAAGATGATTTTGTTTATTTATTAAACTTTTATATCGAAAAAATGAACTAACTGAAAAATAACCATAAATATAAACTTGTAAACTTGTATTATAAAGTACAATTAATTTTTCATGAAAAAATAAATGATTTTTAATATTTACTTTCTATGAAAAATTTCCATTTTTCTGTTTTTGTAATTTTTTTTTAATTATTCAGCATCAATTCTTATATTTTACAATCTTCATGTTTAAATACCTTCTGTAAACTTTACATTTCAAAGGCTTCCTTAAGTAAATATTTTTTATTTTTATTTCTTAGCGTGTAACTTTTTTTTAGAATTAATGCAATGTTTTAAACATTAAAAATTATATCTAATTATATAATGAATATAATGAGTATGTCCGAATATATTTGAATTTATAGAGTTTACAACAAATGGGCAATTCTCGAGCCAGAGCAGTCTACGAAGCCAATCTTCCAGATAGTTTTCGAAGACCTCAAACGGATTGTAGTCTGGAAAGTTTTATTCGAGCGAAATATGAACATAAAAAATATATAGCTAGAGAATGGGTGCCACCTCCTTTACCAAAAGTATGATTATCATATTTAATATTTTTGTTTTGGTATATAATGTCACATATAAAAATATATGTTTTAATATATAAACGTTTAATGTGCAAGAAATTGATAATATTTTGTTTTATGTACATATATACAATTAATTTTATATATTTATGCAGTAGATCTTTATATTTATTGCTTATAAATAATTTTCATAGGTAAATTGGGACAAAGAACTTGACGAAGAAGCCGAGAGACAACGCAGACGAAAAAAGGAGAGTTCGGAAGCTACGACTACTGTACTCCCACCTGTAAAAAAACCGGAAGTAGTGCCTCAATTGCCAAAACCTCGAAGTTCTGTCAGTCCTAAGCTAGGCAGAACAAAAGAAAATTCTGCAATCCTTGATCTCTTAGGTCTTGGTATGTTTCTTATCTTATATGTATAAAATGTACCAGAATTTGTACATACCGAAAGAATAGCGCGATTCTCTGTCAAAAAAGCAACTTTTAGCAAAAATTTTACTGTACCACAGAAAGAAGTTGCTCATTATACAGAGAATTGCATCGTGTATTCTATGTGTGTGAATTCTGACACTGTATATAATTTATGGAATATATAAGCTTTCTTCACATTGTCCTTGACAGATGCACCAGCAACTAACCAAACAAATGTAAATGGTTCTGGGGACGATGTATTTTCTTCCTTCTTGTCTGCACCGCCTGCTTCGGTAGCATCAACTGGAAGTGACGCTTCTAATGGAAGTAAAACGACTACCGCGAGTAAAAGCGAAGAGGAGAGCTTCTTTAACCAACCGACCCTGCTACCTCAGGAAAAAAGCAAGATGACAAAAGACAGTATTTTAGCATTATACGGTACTCCGAGTCATCAACCAGCTCTTTATGGTATCTCAGGTAATGCACGAGGCACAGAAACGTGTTGACGAAATTATATAATTAAATTACGTTTGTAAACTAAACACGTGATGTATTTCAGGGGGAGTGTATCCTCAGCATTCCATACCATATAAACAGCAAATGCCTAATGTGGGTGCATTTGGGCAGCAAAGCTCTTTGGGTCAACTCGGCCAACTTCCTACGCAAATACCGGTCGCAAATCAGATACCTGTCAATCAAAATCAAATTATAGGGAATCCTAATACGATAGGTGCTGTACCAGCCAATCCTTTAGGCTTACATATAGGACAAATGAATCAACTAAACGGTGTACCTAATGCTGCTATCACAATGCCACCTCAAATGGTATGTAACATTTCTTGCGTGGCATTGCCAAGCATGTTAATAATTATCCGCGCAATCGTTTTTTTTTTATTATTTCAAGTTTATTTTCTCTTATGTCACAGATGATGCAGTTAGGACAGAGTAATATTCCTAGTAATAATGGATGGAGTGGAATGCTGACACAGAATATTCAACCAGCTCCTGGCAGCAATCCCTTCTTTAATTTAACAGCACAGCAACAACAAACCACTGCATTTGCTGCTCAGGTATGCAAATTTCAACTATGCTTTACTGTAACTATATACTCGTATGATTTCCAAGATATGAATAAAGCAATAAATTTCATCAAAACTATGTACACATATTCACATTAAGCCAAGTCAGTTTTATTTTCGTGACATAATCCATAATGTTACAGCTGCCACAACAAATGTCGCAGATGTCTCTGGGCGATATGAACTTTGCCACGACGGGCAAGCCTGCCGCTGCCGCGCTACCCGGGCAGACCCTTTCCACAAACTTATGGCAGTAAAATTATTGCGAATATTGTTAGCCTGTTGATTATCTCATTCAGTGTTGTATACTAATGTCGACAGTTTATTATCCAATGTAATAACGTTTCCATGTCCATCGATTGGACATTGGTTCGGAAAGTAATAGAACTGACGACGGAGACGCAAAAAATTAAAAAAAAGAGCAATTACTCGAATGTTGTCTCAACACATAATTCGTCAATGTTTATAGTGCTTCAAGTAGATACATATTTTTGTTTGAAAGCCTTCACCAGCTTTCAACGTTACTGTTGAGGGAGGTAGGGAAGAAAGGAAACTGGAATAAAAATGAGACGAGTCTTTGACTGAATGTAAGGAGTTCATTTGTGTGACGCTAAACATTGTACCTCACGGTGCAAATTATGTTGCTACAACAAGAGCTTTTTGTAATTGCAATTGAAATATATGTACGCCAGGGTCCATTTTCAACATAACAAAGTATTCGAGTCAGTGAAAAATGGTATAATTTCGATTAGTTTAGATCTCATCGCTGCAATTGCTATGTGTTTTTGAGCTTATTCATGAAAATATTGCAATTGGCGTAAAATACAATTCTAAATCTCGCGTGTGTTTGCAACTCGCTGGTTCGCGCGAAGAGACACGGCGCGGTCTCGTGGCATACACTTTTGGCGCGAGATACTGCCGTGTCTCTTAATTTATTGTATCCAACCGCGGGAATTGAATTCGTTGGACTTATACCGATTTCAAACGCTGATTCAAATAAAGATGTACATGCGTATGTACAAGTTTCATTAGAGACGTAAAAAGACTTGGATCTTCAACTTATTTTTAAGGTATTATATTCGACACGTGCAATATGTGTCCACATTTATTCTGTATTGGTAAATAAATACAAAATAATATAAATATGCGAGATATAGCGCATTTTACATTTGAGTAAGATATAGAGTATATTACTGTTGCGACAATGATTTAAATAGTTCAGCAATTTGTTTATTAATATCTATACGAATTTTGTGGGAAAAATCCATAGGTCGTACACTGGTGCTAGGAATTCTGAAGCATTTTGATTGGATACGTCATATTTTTGTTACGTCGAATTGAATAATGATGCATACAAAAAATAATATATGTAAAATGTTCTTTCGAAAAGAAAATTTTGAGACTATACTTTGCAATCGCAGGTAATTAAATAATATATATATATAATTTATTGTATAAATTATAATTATGCTTGTCTGTGTATTATTATGAAACAATTTGCATACAACAGTTTTTATTATTATTACATTTGTTCATGTGCGAAGATAAATTTGTTTAGCATGTGGGAGGCACTACTATACTTAGATGTATAATCACAACCTGTCTTTCAAAGTACCGATAACGATGATTGTAATGCAGACTGTTTAAGCATTGTGCACATTTTCTCACTTACAGGTTCTACATAGAGTTATCGTAATTATATTTATAATAGGTTCAGACATGCGAATGAAATATGATAGTCTTATTCTTCGTTGATTTTTAACATGCGAGACTTGTGATTGCCGATATACCTAAATTTAATTTCCAAGGAACCTGTAGTCGAGAAAAAAAGCGCGGTATATGAGATACTGTATATGGGTATAGCAGGACGCAGTATTTTTTTGGCAAGTTTGCGTTAATATAAACAGATGAATCACTTTAAGTGATTCCCGATAATCAACGGAAGCTATACCAAGAGGGACTTAAGGAAGCTCATCTTAATTGTTGCCTACAGTATCAAGCTGTTATTTATATGAATTATTATTATAAGTAATTATATGAAATAGTGTACTTGTGTCAAAAATATAAGAACATTTTATTGTAATTTCGATCATTGTTATTATTCATTACTCGTAAAATTGTTGAGCAAGATGAATTAAACTTGTAACATATAATAGACTTTAAAAAGACACATTAAATCTGACAATAAGTTAGTGGCATATCTCTCAATAATCTTAAATTTTTTTATTCTTAAAATCTTGCTAACATGATTTATATCACGATAAATTAAATAAGAAATTAAATTTAAAAAATTCAAATCTTAAACATCTATTTTGTGCAAATTGTTTTTAATATTCTCTTTGTTTGTTATATTATATAAAATAAAAATGAGTTTGGCATATTGTTATAAATAATATGTACAGGTATATATATATATATATAACAGTCTTTATCTTTGAATATCTGTTTTTACGCTTAAATATTCGATCCTTTTAAAACGCATTAAAAGCTAAAACTTATCAAGGAAGAGACCAAATCTATTAATAATTGTATCAAAATATTGAAAACGAGATATTATATCCATATTTGGCAAATACGACAAATAGATTTCGAAATACGTATTAGCAGTAACATCGACAAATATTTTGATAACAACACGAGATCTTAAATCTGTTTTTTTTTATATAGCTGAACTATAGTGTATATGTATACATCTCTTTGTATTTAAATTAGTGAAATAAATATGTTTGATATATATTTGGCGAGCAAAAGAAAAAAATATTAGTGCAGTTGTGCAGTAATAAAAAACGAATTTTTTAAATACACTTTTTACTTTATAACGATAAAAAATCTAACGAGGCAATTCTAATAAAAAAAAACAATATATATAGTTAAAAATAGCGAATAAAATTATTGCAATTATTTCATTTGTCGAACAAGACTGTAATCAATAAATTTCATAAATTTCTTGCAATAATATATAACAAATATTTCATTCTTAATTAATATATATTTATTGTTTGGCAATAATCATGAAAGCGAGGTTAATGCGCGAACTTCGTTTCCGTTCGAATCACGTCGTTTTTGGACAGCAGCGACTCACCGGAAGTCGAGCGGAAAACTTGAGCGGCTCGTCTACACTTTACGCGTCCTCTTCCACTTGCGCTAGACACCTCTTCCGAGTCACAGTCCACGTGAGAGAGAGGCTATCAGTATGGATAAACCAGTCGTTTTGGCGCGCGTCATCAAGGTCCTGGGTCGCACCGGCTCGCAGGGTCAGTGCACCCAGGTGAAGGTGGAGTTCCTGGGCGAGCAGAATCGGCAGATCATCAGGAACGTGAAGGGGCCGGTACGAGAGGGCGATCTCCTAACCTTACTCGAGTCCGAGCGCGAGGCGAGGAGGCTTCGATAACGCGGGGTTTCGTTAACGCCGGGGGAAGGAAAACGGTCGCCAGCCACCGCCACCATCATCGGGTTTCACCAGCTATGCATTTCCTGAACGTGGATCCCCTCCTACGCATGGATCGTCGATCACGTGAGTCATCGATCGTGAATCGTGGGTCAAGATCGTCGACAACTGGCACGTGCTTCTGCGACACTCTTCTGGCCACGTGCTTCTCGAGAGGATGCTGCCGATCACGGAGCGGGATCACGTTCTCCTGGAAACATTCCTGACGCATGAGAATTCCACGCCTTTTGCAATAAAACTCGGCTGGTAAACCACAAGTTTCACGGTGTTGTCATTGTGTTCCCCCCTCGTCCAATGTAACATCCAGCGACGAATTGTAAACCGAGCGCTTTTTATAATCTAAGGGTTATTAATATATCTGCATTTACTACCCATTTTTTGTGTTTTTTCTTGTTTGCTCTCCCTTGGTGTTAGAATATGATTACATTATTAGTTCGTGTCGTTTTACATATTCTATGTTCAAAAAGAACAAATATATTCTTGTTTTAAAGAGTTTACAAAAGATATAGAAAAATATAAAGTAACTAAGCACAAATAAATTTAATATCTAGAGAATTATTTTTAAATTTGAAAATCTTGATTCAATTCTGAAAATTCTACATTTTTAGTAGATGTATCAAAGTAAATCTTAAAAACGTAAATCTAATCGGTATCGAACACATCGCATTTGGAAATTACTTAAAAAGATGCAATGATATATTTATTCATGGAAAAATTTTATAAAATCAACTTATTCTCTATATATACATCCACATTGTTGAAAGAACACAGTGTCATAATTATTGTGTATATGATATAATAAATTATAACTAAGGCTCTTAGTGGGACACAAACGATGCCATCAATATTTACAATAATTGTTATATTCTTCGTCGTTTTGGCGGAGGCGTGTCGCGTGGACTGGAAGAAGCTTTGGAAGAACTATCCACGCTTTGTCTGGTTGGCCTCTTCGGGATCCGTTTCATCAGCTCGCGACTAGATTCGGAATCCTTACGCTCCTTCTTTCCGTTAGATGCTTAAAAGAAATAGAAATTTGTGCGTGCAGCTCGCCTATGGGAGAAAATTACTTAAATATATAGGAGATCAAAATGTTCAAAATACCGCTCTCTTCCGAATCCTCCTTCCCTTTCGAACGGCCTTTCGAAGATTTATGTTCTTTCCTCGTCTCTTTTGCATCCTTAAACTTATCCTTTTTTACATCTACATCCTTCACATACTTCTTGACCTCTTCTTTTTTCTTTTCCACGTCTTTGGTTCCTTTAAAATCACGCAACAGGCTATCTTTCTTAAAACTCTCTTTAACGTCCTTTTCCTTTTTTATTTCTTTGTACTTATCCCTCTGGTCTTTCAATTTTATCTCTAACTCTTCCTTTTTCCGTGGCTTTCCCACAAATTCTGTTTCCGGTAAGGAAAAGTCTATCTCGTGACTGGGAAAAGGTAAATCTTCCATATCATCCTGTCAAAAAAAAATATATATATGTGTGTGTGTACAAAATATATTTGCTCTCGATGTATTATATTATATTCAAAATAATTTTACATAGAAACTTATTTATCATAATGGCATACCAGATATAATTTTATTTTGGAAAAAATACAGATTTTATTATAGAAAAAAAATGAGATTATGCAATTAAATTGATAAAAAAATTGGTTTAATTTCCATAAATATTTTTATCTAAACTCTTTCGTTTCTTTTTGGTAAATTGATAACTTACCAAAGCCATAAGGTCGTACATGGACTCCAAATGATCCCAAATAATTTTCAACGGCACATCTTTGTGAATGGCGGTGCGAAATTTCTCCCATATACACACCATGTGAAAATATTTGTTTATACCTTACAATTGGACAACTCATTAAATTACAATTGCAAATGTAGTGATCTTTCGTCAACAGTTACTTGGATCAAACTATGATTAATTTAATTGATGGTTAACTTATCAAGCAATGCTGCAATATTCTGTTAACATTAATTTTGCGTTTAATGTGTGAAAATAAAATTTAGATTACAAATGCGATAATCTGGCAAGATGTATAGTTAAAAAAATTAATTGCTGATCAAGTTAATCGGAGTTTGGTCAAAGTTGCCCTAACGTAAAACTACGTTTACACAACACTCTTGATTTTGATAACATCTCTAATTATGAAAATGGCCAATCACAGGCACATTACTTTTCAGAGGAATAGCTACGATTGGTTAGCTTAACAATTACAGATATTAAACCCGATTGAGAGTGACATGGGTAAACATAATCGTGGAGGCGAGATCGAGGATAAACATAACCTCTCATTCGCCGGTTTTGGCGTCTTACCGACTGGCTTGTGTCCATTCATGGCGAAGAAAAGTTGAATCTCATTCTCCACGTTCCATTCTATTTCGTCGAACGAGATTTCGCTTTGTCTCTCTTTTACAGCCATTTTAACGAAATTTGGTTATGCTCGAGTCAATCTGGATCATTTAGACAGCATGCACGATTGATCAAGCCTCAACTGAGTGGAACGCACGGTATAGCGCAGACGTATTTCATATGTCGTATTCAACGATTCGTTATCGAGATTATTAAAACGCGTTACGTGAAACAATTGTAATCTGACACTTCCAAATCACATTTCAACGCTCCAAGCAGCTCCAAGCTTCGAGGGGCATTTTGGAAGCACATTAATCTCGATATACGTACATAGGTAAGCCTTAAGAAATTGACCAATCACAGTCAAATGTGAGGAGAATGATCGACCATGATTGGTCAATTTTTTACGGCTTCTGCACCAGGGACGCGGCAGCGGCGCAACGCTTGCCGCGCGGCGGCAAGATGCACCGCAAAAGTCAATCATTCTTTTATTTTTATAGAAAAGCGATAAATTCTACTATTGCATTTGCCGGCAAGCGGTGCCGTTTTAGATATCAGCGTTTAGAATACTGTTTGCCATTTGACAATACCTTCTGATTTAGCTTACAGGACTCGAATTTCTCAAAAACGTTTCATCTTATGTTTCTTTCGGTCTGTTTCAGTAAAAAAATTTATAACACATTACAGGTGTAATTTTCTCATTTTATTTTATAAAATATGCGATATTTAATTTTATACGTAAATATCAAGCTATTCCTAATGATGAATGCTCAACGCGTCGCTTTGCACTTCGTGACTCAGTTGTGTCTGCAGATTCGACAATTTATTTTTTAACGCTGCAATCCCCATCATGACGATGTTTTCGGGTTTCAGGGCCCCGCTGCTCTCCACATTGAAGTAATACTTGTTCGGTTTTGCCTCCCAATTAAACGGGGCTTCATCTAAAATACGTGTACGTTGCAATAAATACAGCTATAAAAACTTGTGAAATCTTGTCATAAATTATTGCTCACATTGATCCTCCTCTAATTCAGTGTACTCCGATTTGGGCCACTCGTCTGGCTTGGGGTACAATGTGTGCCTCATGGAATTGTCGGGATCATACTCGAAGCTCACACCAGCGGTCGGATTCCACTTTGCATGCTCCTTTCCGAAACCTTTCTTCGCGTACGCCCTAAGCTTCAATTCCTGCCCTTTCCTCAGTTTCACTATCAAAATCTCTAGAAGATTCCAAACGATCGTTGTAATACCTTTGATTTTTTTTTTACGATAATCATAAATTAGCGTAACATAAAAAAGAAGATGCGAACCGTCCGTTTCTCCGTACTCGCTCGCGTCGTCTTCCCTGTGCCTGGATGTGACGGGTAGCACTCTAGGATCGCTCGACTTGAAATCCGCCGTGGTTACATGCCTGGTCTGATCTTCGATGCATTTAACGTCTAGAGTGAATTCCACGCTACATTCTGGACAGAAATCCATGCACTGGCAATCTCTTGTGTACTGTATTCTGTCGACCACCTGAAAACAGGGAAAATTTTCTCTGTACGGCACTGTATCCATCAAATCACTTGGCATATCTTGTGACATAATAGTTTAAAAAAATAATTCATTACTTATTTGTATTAATGATACAAAATTAAATCGTATTAATACAGAATAATTAACCAAATATGTAAAACATAATTAAATCAAAGTGTTTTAATTTTTCTGGTTAATCTTGTTAAAATCTTGCATTTCCACATTTTTGTTAAAAAAAAAATCTATTCAACTTTTCCTAAAGAAACGTTGCTACACATGCACATACATCATCACTGATCAACGGTATCATTCCAATCCTGTGTGCCAAGAATTCGTCACTTAGAACAGTAGAATTGGCTTCCAGTTGTATCCAATCGATGGCCATAGTCGGAGTTTCGGCTATAAAGATACGCCTCATGCTATTTGCAACGCTAATGAAGAAACATTTAATTATAAATAAATTTGCTATTGCATGTTATTGACACCTCAACTTAACCTAACCTGTCTCACCTTAATTCGGTATCTTCCACTTGAAACTTAACGTTTTCCTCGGTTAAGTCCGAGATATGGACCGACGGTTGATTAGCGTATGGCATTTTATGTTGTTAATTAACCTCTCCGTTTATTTATGGGAATAGAATTATTTATAATAAATCCTATTACGATAAACGCGCGCGAATACGCGCAAGAAGCGAACTGCTTTGCTGCAAAGTAGCGAGAACACTGAGAACTACTGACATGAGTACATGACTGACATCTGCGTTAGTTTAATTATTCAATGTGGAGGGGAAAAACACAGCGTGTGTAAATTTATTCATACTAGGTAGTTATACTAATATATGTATGTATATTAAATTATATACATGCATGTATGCACATTTAAATTAGTTTTATAAAAATAAAATTGTAATTGTTTCCCCACATGTTATATAATTAAACTACATAAATTTAAAATATAAACTCAAACATGATTTCATACTCAAAGACATATGTATATATTTCATAGTGTAAGAAATTATATTTAGGAAATAAAGAGAAGAATGTGGAA